GGGGTTGAGTATTTTTTTTTGCTGACTATCTTCCAAAATAGCTCAATATCTATTGTGTAGAATACACACGTACTTTTTAAAAGTTTGCAGCTTAATACATAGGTTTTTTTACATTTAGGTTCATTTTGGTTTCCATTGCTATTTCGAAGTGATGTGCATTTGTAAAAGTAAATAATATATCTTTAAAAGCTATGAAAAGCCTACTTTGACCGCATTAAAATCCCATTTTAATAACTCTTTTCATTCTTTTTCAGGCAACAAGTATGATCTATAACCACTGTTATTGTCTTTTTGTGTAGGTGGTTTTTGTCAGAGTACTTGTATATAATGACGTATTTGAAAGGATTGTTGTACTCTAAACGATCCATTATACAAGAGACGTTGCTTTACATTGCATTGCATTATAAAGTCCCAAGGGCCACATGAGAATGTCTGTTAAAGAGGTGATCTTCATTAATGTTGTCACGGCAAATTTTCAAAGAGAGCAAAGTTAATTCATAAACGTTCAGCCTTTTTGGTTGGTTTCAAACACTGCATTTCTACAATTCAAGTTTTTCCATTCTTTTTAACGCTTTCGAGCCAGAGACTTTCCATCTACCTAATTTGTACACAGAACAAAACATTGGGAGATTCATTTAAAGCCATGCAATGATATACATGTATTTCCATTTGTTTAGAAAAAGCAACTGTAACACGAGTAATAATGGGTTTAGAATATCCTCTATAAAACAGTAGAAGAAAAAGTTAATGACTGTGAACAGGTTTGGGAGATCAAAAGAGAGTCTACATAGCTATAAAGAGGTTAATTACGTTCTAAATATGATCCCTATGTGATTTCCCTTTAGAAACCTAACCAAATCCTTGACTTGCAACCCAAAGCGACATACACCATTCCGCACCAATGTGAGACGATGTGACAAGCAACATTCCTCACCAATAAGAGACGATGTGACGTCGTCCCATTCCGCACCAATGTGAGACGATGTGACAAGCACCATTCTGCATCAATGTGAGACGATGTGACAAGCACCATTCCGCACCAATGTGAGACGATGTGACAAGCCCCATTCCGCACCAATGTGAGACGATGTGACAAGCACCATTCCTCATCAATAAGAGACGATGTGACAAGCACCATTCCGCACCAATGTGAGACGATGTGACGTCGCCGACTCCACACTAACTGTGACAGCCCGTAGCTTTATGTGGTGAACTCCTGAGCTGTATTTAGTACCGACTGAGTTACGTCAACATCTATCTACCTTATTTTTTTCTCTCTCCTTTTTATTTGGTTTTGTTCTGTTGTTTTGTTGTTGTTGCTTTTTATTTGGTTGTTTTTTGGGGTGTTTTTGGGGGGGAGGGGGGGGGGGTTGTTTCTGTTTTTAAGTTTGTTTGGGGTTTATGTTTTTTAATTTTTTTGTTGTGTTTTTGTTTGTTTGTTTGTTTCAGTTTTAGAAAGCGTTTTATGGCACTTGTGAAACAAATAGATCATATAAGTGCCAAAAACTCTCAAAAGTGCGACTACCACAGAGTATAATAAGTAAGCATAAGTAGGTAGGTTTATGCAGTGTGTCTATTGGTATTTGTTTCTTATAGGAATTTATTGAATTGAAAAGTAAACAAAGAAAGTAGTATAGGGCTAAGTATTCAGCCTTGATTAACACCTGATGTACATTTAAAGTATTAAGTAATGTAATATTTCATGGTTCCTTGTTCTTCTGAGCAGACTCAAATGAAAGAACACTTTGGCACATAAAAAAATAAAACATTATACACTGATCTCAGAACAGCCTGTACAAAGTTTTTCTCTGTCAACCCAATCAAATGCTTTATAAAATGCTAATATTGTATTACCTTTGAAATATATAGGGTATAGGTATGATAAAAATGGTTGTTAAAACCTTTGCTTCAGTGGGCAAAGGGTCCTTTGGTAATGTCATTTGAAATAGTTTGGATTGGAAGAATTTTGCGAAACATGCTTACTCACTGTCTAAGGGTTGTTTTCCTTACATCAAAAGTAGTAATAATATTATTCAAGTTGTTCAAACGTTTAGAACACGATTCCATATCCGTTTACGGACGAAGAACGACGGAGACAAGTCATGATAAATTGCACACTTTTTATTCATTTCATTCATTATGCATGTAATTATTGGTCCAAATATTTCTCAAATTAGTGTTTAATTTTATAACGAGTTTAACGGCACTTTTAAGACAAATAGGTTAAATAGATGCCGAATATTAGAAGTGCTTCTTGAAAGTAACAAGTAAAGAAACGAAGGAGAAGAGATAAGGACGACAGATGTTTGATAGGAAAGAAGGAACAAACACAACATAGCACCCGCCAGTCAAATTGGAAGAGGAAAACAAAGCAGTAGAGGCATCTGAAGAAAGACAGATGACGTGACAAAGTACAGGTCATCCGTTCTCCTCCTGTATACAGAGTTGTTGGCTCTGTTCAACAGGCATAGACATAGACAACAGTCAACAAACGTAAAGAGGAGAACCAATACTTTTGTTCCTTAGCAAAAGAGCAATGCCTATTACTATTACACATGCTGCTGAGTAGCAAAACTGAAAATTAATGTCACTCCACTTTTAGTAGACTAAAACCGGTGCCTGACAACCGTTTTACAGCCAGCACCTACCTTTGTCCCCTTTAAAACGTTAAAATTTTCGTACCGCTTATTAACATTTCATGATACTTCCAAGCATGGCATTAAATAACCCATGTCACTACCTCGCTGATCCAACATCGACCACCAATATCATCAATCTGCCAATAGTGGGCGATACCACTCAGACTGGCAGGTACTAGCTTAAGTTATACCCCTAAAAACAGTCCATCTGTAATTTAAAAAGCATCATAGAGAGAAAGAGTTCTAAAAAAATAAACATCAGAGTACAAGTTGACAATAGAGCATCATTTTTTTCACCAAAAAAGTCATTTGCATGACAATAAATCAAAAGCAAGAGATCATAACATATCAATAGTCCATTCTATCTACTCTACACCAAGCTTTTACAAAGCAAATAATTATTATCTTAATCAAGTACTGAACTATTTCAATGTTTTATAGAAATAATTTGAATTATGATCTTCTTAGATATACGCAACCGGATATCCAAAAACGTTGATTCTCCATTTTCTTTCGCACAATCTGTCTCTTCATTCCTTCTTTTTGTTTGCTTTAGAACGCACATTTACACATTTTATTTTTATATACACTGATAGACACAAATACATTAACGCATATATGCGAATGAAACCAAGCATGTAAGCACATCTAATTACAAAATTTAGAAAATTTTATTTTCACAGTAAGACAAGAAAGATACTGGATATTATTCTTATTCAGTCGGGACCCACTCTCTACTCAGTCGACAACGCCTGAAGATGCCCTGTTTTGGACCACCATCACTTCGTTGTTTATACAGATTTGTTAATTTTGTTTTCGTTCTTACAACCATAAAAAGGCATGCACATTTTAAAAATATCCATCAAAGGCATGTTTTTGATTTGTGTATGATGGCCCAATATGTGTAGCAAAATTACCTTTGATCTGCTGCTTATCGGAAATATATGTCCTCTGCATCTTTAATAAGCTTACATAAAAGCAGTACCAGGCTGCATAACATTGAATAATATAATGACCGGCGATGTTTTCTTAAGTCGTTTAAACTTCAATTTCTTTCAACTGTCTTTGCGCTCATCGTTTTCTTTCATGATAAAACATAGTATAGACAATATTATGACGCGAAGTCCTTTCTTAATTAGGTTCTTGCTGGAAAACACGAAAAAGAAATGACAATGGGTTTATCCACATCTTATTTGTTACTATAACCAGTTGCATAATACTCCAAAATTTAAGTCCCCTGGCCAGGACTTGATCGCTTGTAAGTCAGTGCGTATATAACGGTTTTATAACCAGCACCACTTTTGTCAGCTTTAAAAGACTACCTTGTTTGTACTGCCCACTTAGATGGAGGGGGGGGGGGGTTCAAACGGTGTATTATACAGTACAACTTGTCACTTATCCGTGTGATCCCCACTGCCCACTAAAATTTCCAAATCGCCCACCACTTGATGACATCGCCAAAGGTTGGCAGACGCTGAACTATTAACAAAGATAACTTGAAGTACATTTCCTTCTAAGTTTTTCCAGTATTTGTGTCATCTCAAAAGTTATCATTGAAGTCATCAATAGTTTGCAATATTCACACTTACAACCATTTCTCTTCCTAAAACTTCAGCAGGTTTGATGCGTCTAGATCTCACTACTGCCCCCCCCCCCCTCATCCCTCCCCTTCCCCATTGCCTGCGCCTTCCTCCCCCCCCCCCCCCCCCAAAAAAAAGGCGCAATAATCGAAGCTGTTTCAGTTAAGGATCCTTCACAAGACCTGAGAAGAAAATAAGTAAGATATTATTAGGATGGGTGTCTTCAGAACCGGTTCTCGAATATGAGTCAAAAGAATGAATGAGATGTAACAGGTACTCAAACATGAGAGAAAGGAATAAAAGAACTGTAGGTCTAGCAGGAAAGTACTAGTGGTTGCTCTGTGGACACGAAGGGATTGCTGGAGGAATGTTTCAACAAAGTGGGGGCATTTTAGGTAAGATATAATTATCTTAAACATCTATATGTAACAGTTATATGTCATAACAAATTTGTACGTTATACATTATTGGGCACTCTCATACGCACATTTTTCTACTAATCAGATGGCGTCAATATCCTAGAAATGGGCAAGGGACCAAAAAAAAAAAAAAAAAAGGTAAAGAAGGCAGAAAATCCGGACTAAGAATGAGATAGATAGACAGACAGATAGAAAGACAGATAGATAGACAGATAGATAGATAGATAGATAGATAGATAGATAGATAGATAGATAGATAGATAGATAGATAGATAGATAGATAGATAGAAAGATCATCATGATATTATGAACTTCTGAATCTGAAATGTTTATCTTTTCTGCATTTTTGTTTTATATAATAGGTATCGATATTTGATTATTAACGCTGAGTTATTTAAGATACAACGCCATGTGACTAACAATAACAGCTGCCATGGATATGAATGACGTTGGTAGAGCAGAGACAGACTGCATATTAATACGTGTGGCCAGACCGCTACCCTTAAATTACAAAGTGCTATCTGTTCAGTACCACGTTTGGAGAAATTTTATGCAAAAAAAAGTTAAGTTTCACAACATGTAAAGCATTTCTTAAATGCAATTCTTTGAATATCTTGATAGCGACTCCGAATAATCTTACGATTTTGATAGAGCAAATAAAAAATGTCGTTTCTGACCTATGGTCTTAGTAACTTTAAAATTTAAAAATACCAAAAATGTCAGATAGACGTTTATAATTCTAAGGTAGCGACATGTTACCCCTTAATGTGCGGCTCTCCAGTTCAATTGGCTCGCGGCATTGCCCGGTTGTTTACAGTCATAACAAAAACTTACCAAACCCATCTTATCTCTGTAGAATAAAATCCTATGTTGAATGCTTAGATCTTTCGGGGTTTTTTTCATACTATGGTTTTATATTACATGTATACAAATGGGTTAACCGGGAAACAGGTTATGGTTATGTTTATGAGGCCGTACACTTGGTAGACAAAATCGGCTACATCTAAAGGAAGAATAATGACTACCATTACACAGCTCAGCTATTAAAATGCGTGTAACTTCGCTCTGCAGCATGTTTTGCGCACTCTACAACTTAGTATAATATTACCACGACTGGGAAACATTTTTTGGCTTCCCGGAAAACATACAGATCACGCTGCGGATTAACTACGCAACATACTAGCAAATTGTCAAGATATTTCGCTGTCTATTGTCCGCTACTCATTCGTAAATGGGCAAGGAGAACTAAATTCGTGTAAAATGCGCTTCCCGATTCCACAACATCGGGCTCCAAACAGGTTTATATAATCTGCAAGCTTAAGGTTGAGGGTCCAAGAGCATTACAACTTGACCACTCACTGACAATTAATAACCTTACGTTTATTTAATGATTTATAATAATTATTATTTCTTACCATACTTTCTCCTGATCTCGTCCAACTTGCCCTTTCTTTCGGTTCTTCTTTCATCTTGTCTCATCTTCCTTTCCATCTTCTGTTGTTCATACTTGTCGTCTTCTTTCTGATATCTTGATAATGATATTTACAATAATAATAATAATTATTATTATAATGATAATAATAACAATGATAACAATAACAGCAGCAATCATCATCATCATCATCATCATCATCATCATCATCATCATCATCATCATCATGATTATTATAATCATAAGTAGTAGTAGTAATAATGATAATAATGGTCATAAAGCAATAATAATACTATTAATGCCGACCAATTGTGTAGCGCCAATTTTCCGTATTGTAAAGCTCTTGGAACGTTATGATACCTTCGTCTTCACCTAAATTACGTGTCAATGAATGTGCATACAACATACTTAATATTGTCCCTAATCAGATGCCGTTGCCTGTGACAGATGCGTTTCTCTTCAAAGATAGAGTCGTGGGAAATATAAACAGGAACATTATATATGACGAAATATTTTTAAAATATCATATTCCACTTTTATATTCAAACGTATGGCTTGGAAAACAGTGTCGTTAAAGTAAAGGTAATAAAAGAATTTTGGAGCAATACGTATCTTTGTTTACTTAGATGGGTCTAAGAGAGGATTGTCAAGTAGGTATTTGGGCCTTTCATAATTACAAGTTTTATCTTTCAATTTCTGCTTGCCCTGGCTTTTTGTTGCAGTATATACTCTCTAGAAGTTATTGGTGTGTGGCCTGCTTATGAGAGTTTCAACTTTCGATTTCTGATTGAACTTGCCTACTGCTGTAGTGTATGCTTACCTTTTCTTCTTCCTTCCTCGGCAACAGCAGCAGCAAATACATATGGTAGTTATGCCAATGATGATTATACCTCCAATTACACTCATAGCGATGATCAAAGCTTCAAAGTTCACTGAAATAAAAAAAACAAAATTAAATCATCTCTGCAAAATGTCAACAGGGAAACTCAGTTTCTTGTCTGTGAATGGAACTGATGGAACAGTTATGATAAAGTAAGACCAGTGCCTTTGCTAATCTTTATATAACTACTTCCCACTTAAGCTGTCTTTAAGAGGCTAATAATTCTGTACCGCCCACCCACAAGGCTACCCTTGAATTACAAAGTTGTATCTGAATCTGACGTAAAAAAGTTTGAGTTTCATAACGTGTCAAGCTTTTTTTAATGCAATTCTTTGAATTTTTAAAAATAAAGACTCCGAGTAATCTTACGATTTTGAAAATGCAGATAGAACATATTTGGTTTCAGACTTTATAGTCTTAGTAACTCAAAACAACAAAAAATGTCGGACCTAACTTTGTTATTATAGGGTAGCGATATATCGTCTGACATGCCACCAACATAATGATATGATCGGCGTTGAAAAGCCTTTGTCACTACTCCAATGGTCCTCATCACCCACCCCCACCCCCTCCCCCGAAAAAAAGAAGGAAAAACCCAACCCCCGACAAGAGGGTGATATCGCCCGAGTCGGCAAGTACTGCAGTAAAATGTGAACAGTGAGACTCAACATCTGGTTTGTGGATGGAGCTGTAATATATTATGTTGTGTTATTTTTTGTTATGTTATGTATGTTGTGTTGTGATGAATATATTATGTTATGATGAATATTATATATTATGCTATTTTATGTTATGTCAAGTTATGTTATGTTGTGTTATGTTAGACCATGGACGTCTGCCTGGTGTTCACATGATAGTAGTATCGACTTCTGTTTCTAAAACCTTAGAAGTAAGTAGGTAGGTAGTTAGGCAGATAGGTAGAAAGGTAGGTAGGTAGGTAGGTAGGTAGGTAGATAGTGAGTAGGTAGGTAGGTAAGTAAGAGAGTGGGTGGTAGGGTGGATAGATAGGTGGGTAGGAAGGTTAGTGGTTAGATTAGTAAGTAGGTAAGTAGGTAGGTAGGTAGGTAGGTAGGTAGGTAGGTAGATAGGTAGGTAGGTAGGAAGGAAGGTAGGTAGGTAGGTAGGCAGGTAGGTAAGTAACATTCCTACGAGCATATGTACGCACTAACTGACATGTACACAGATTCAGACATACAGACACACACAAACACAAACACACAAAAACATACACACACACACACACACACACACACACCAAGAGGCTTATGTCCTAACCGTAACTTACACCAGCACACTCCCCATCTCGCTTCGTCCAGCGCACACATGTCCGAGGGAGGAAGGACTTTGCCCGTGGGGTACAGCTGACAGCTGTTGTCGGTGTAGCAGTACATGCACTGAAAAGTGGACAAGGGAGACATTGAATAAAATAGTATAAAAAGGTTTGTTTTTTTAATTCTAAAAAGTAAAATAGAATATTACACTTTGTTGGTCATGTGAGGGATACTTGGGTTACCATTCAAACATACATATATAATATAATACATAATGAAACACACAAAATACATCTACAAAGAATATCAAACACACAATATTTCACAAATCGCTTCTTCAGAATTACAAAGTTCTTCTTGTCATTTTTGGCCATTTTGAGTTACTAAGAACATGAGTTCAGAAACCAAGTGTTCTATATTACGCAGAAAATTTTCACAAACGTGCCATTTTTTGTGGTGTGGCAGTACATGCACTGACTAGAGGAGAAAGGAGACATTACTAATAACGTTTATTCTCCTCAAAGTCTGTGGTGTAGCGGTAAGAGCTTTGCCGTCGCACGCAGAAGACCCGAGTTAGGGGCGTATAAAGAGATTTTTGATAATCGAGATTTCGGTCATTCAGCTTGGACGCTGTATCCCTCACAGCGTTGGTTAACCCTGACAGGCAGGGTCAAAACCCGCCTACTAAATTATCTTAATTTGTGTCGATTTGGGAGGGGGGGGGGGAGATTAGAAAATCGGCATTTAAAAAGAGAACAAAAGTTTTCACAAGGTTAGATGAGATTTCATGAATATAGTACAAATCTACGCCCCAACAAATGATGCTTCAGACAGAAAAGTGGGAAGACATGGAATAACATCAAGAGGCTAGCCCAGGATAGAGAGAAGTGGGGGGTGTTTGTCCGTGGCCTATACCCTGGTGCAGGGCGAGAAAGGCAATGATGATGAGATGTGATTTCAGTAATTATATTAGACGTAAATTTTAAGATCAGAAAATAAGACTCAACCTACGAACATTTGTGAGTGTTTGTGTGTGTGTGTGTGTGTGTGTGTGTGTGTGTGTGTGTGTGTGTGAAATGGAAAAAGGCAGCAAAACTTCAGACTAAGGCCTACATCTGTGTTGCACCACGCCCCCTCTCTGTGTCACGCATTAACAGCATACCAACGGTAGGCAAGCACTTTATCAATATTCTGATCATAATTTGTCTCTTGCCAACTTAAAGTTAAGTAATGATAGGATCAATTTGAGCTCCTACTTCAAACCTCCTTTCATAAAAGCATCTTAGAGCCAAGAAATATTCGACTCATACGGATTACACATGGTTACTTTTTGTTTTGTTTTGTTTTAGTTTTTTGCTTTAAGACCTATATAGTCATTGTTCCATTCACTATTCACAGAGAGAACCATAGTCGTTTAAAGGCAATAAATAGAGTAGCAAGAGATGTGCACTGTCTTACCTTTGAATCACTGACGCAGTCATCGCAAGAGCCGTTGTGTTTTGCGCATTCTGGGGAAACAGTGCAGACAGAGTAGAAAAATTAGTGTACATGGCGTATGGGCTTTGAAGATAAAGCAGTATGCGCGATATTCAAAGCAGTATGTACGATAATCAAAGCAATGTGCGCGATATTCAAAGCAATGTGCGAGATATTCAAAGCAGTAAGCACCTTATTCAAAAGAATATCCGCTATACAGCTGTGCCTGAGCAGTAGACATAGAGGCAGTATATTGCCCAGGAATTATTTCCTCCTTCCAGATTTCTACTTTCGCGCCTCTGAAGCATAGACATACTCCGATACGTTTGGAACCAAGGAATGTGTAAGGTCAGGGTGTGCAATATTTTGACCAGATGCCCAGTTTGAAATACAAGATCTTGCTTTTGATAGCCTGTTAACGTGCTTCAGGGTCATACCCTATTCCATGTCATGGAGAAATTGTGTACCGCCGCAGTAGAATCAAGCGTCCGAAAATATTTGGGCGAACAGAGTTATTGGTATCATCTTAGAGATTGTTTATATTCTTGCTTGGGACTTCAAAAAAAACTATTTATGTTCAGTTGAAGTCGAGGTCTTAGCGATTGTAGGAGACGTGGGCGAATAACTTTAGCAGTGCATTTCAATAGAGGGGTAACAAAATTGCAACACATATGATTTTTGTTTCATTAGAAACAGAAAACCTTCCTCTATAACATACTGAAAATCGGCATGAATCGGAAAGGAGGAAATTTGTTAAAAATGCCGTCTAATGGATATTATCGGAATAGTCATATATCGATACCAAACTATTTCAGAATCGCACGCCATATCTCACAGCACTGAATGGGATTCTCTTCCTTAAAACGTATTTTTCTTATCCTAACTGGAGGACTTGGAGTCCTAAACATAAGATTTTTAATGGGGAGCTAAAAAAAAGTTAGAGTAGTATTGTACATGAGTAATCTAATTGGATATATTTAAGGAGAAGAACACGCGCTAACTTTCATTTTCAGAAATGAGGACGTTTGATTAATCCTTCTACTGCATCGCTTTATCAAGACCATGTAAGAATTGGGCTGTCATTCCGCAAAGCAATTAATAAGTGTTGAATAGATGAGTCTACTACCCCAAGGTCATTTTTTTTGGCACTGTCGTAAATGCAGACCAGTCGTTTTTGGTGAAATATTTGCATTTGTTGTTAGAACTTTTCACTGAGTAAAAAAACCTTGCTTATGTGGAGAAAAAACCGGACCATTTAAAATGACAGTGTTCATGAGTGGGCACATTCTAAGGTCGTTATTGAAAATATATCGATTGCTATTGGACTCTGCACTATTGATACAACGCACACAACATCATTATCGATCACACTCCCTGTTGACGTTGGTTAGATACGTGGTGCGTTGGATTTTTAAAAAGTATCACTGCACTCTGCCGCTCAAAAATAATAGTATAGTTATCAAAATTGCTTTTTTGGGTTTCAAAATGTAAAACGTTGCCATGTTATTTGTTAAATGTTATTATAATACATTAGTCTACATACAATTTTTGAGGCATTGTGGTGAAAGCAGGCGTTCGTCAACATAATGAAAATGAAATCCAAGAAATTGGCATTTTCTGGCCCTCGGACATTTTTTTTCCAGCTTTTTTTTGGGCTCAACACCTTTTACATCATTTTAGAAACTTAAATCGATGTGGATTATCCTGAAAAACATTGATTAAAGACACAACAATTTTTAATGTTCAGTTTTAAAGGACTCTCAAGCTGTGGAAATTACCAAATTTTAGTTATATTTTCTAACAAATTTCATATCTGAAACCAGGCGACTTCAATGGCAGATATTTCAACATTTTTTCAACATAGATCAATATTTTTTTCACCAAAAGCAAGGCAAATGGTCAGGCTATAAGATGATATCAATAACCTCATATGCCCAAACATTGACGTTCGCCTGATTCCACTACGTTGTCCCGCATTTATTATTTTGATTTTTAGTGCAATGCGCCCACTGTTGGAAAACATGAACCAGTGTTCCTTTTATCCCAGACCATCTTTCCTTTCTCTGACTCTTCTTAAATCTCATCTACGCCCTCAACTCTCTTACCAAGAAGCATTCCTTTCAGGTTGGAAGACAGAAAAAAAGTCACAGGGCGCTGAGTCTGCGAATAGGGTGCTGAAGCAGAGGGTGTATTCTCTGACTCAGAGGTTGAAGTGTAATTACCCTCCAACCTTCACTGTCGAGAGCTGCTGTTGCCCCCTTTCTCTCGAGTCCTACATCCCTCATTTAAAGAGTTGCACATTTTGCTGTACCCTGGCAGTCCAGGTCCCAATGTTGTCCATCCATGTTACTCTTTGTCAATTCTGGCACTCCTGCCCCTCATGCTTTCTTCAAGCACCTCTTTCTCAATGATCTAGTGCCGTTTCAAGCGATAAAAGTATTGTGTTTTTCTGCATTTTATTCCACTAATCAAGATTTGCCTTTTTTGTGGAAAATCTGGCACACTTTATTGTTAGTCTTTTTTCCCCTGGCTAATTCTAGTTATTCTGTGGTATCACCACACTAAAATTCAAATGCAGCTATTTTGTTCTCATATTTCTTTGTTAAAGTCCAGGTCTCAGCGCCATATATAGGAATCTGGGAAAGATGTAGCACTCCGCCATTTTTTTCGCTAGAGGTTAAGATAATTGCTTGAATGTAAATAGAAAAGTGTGCATGAGCCACCAAATCTCTCAAATAGCTCTCGAGAAGATCAGAAACCACTGTACTTCTGGACAGATGTGTTGTCGTGGTGGGGTATCAAGTTATATCTAGCATATCGGTTGATGTTGTATTGTTTTGTTTTTGTTTTTGGTGTGTGTGTGTGTGTGTGTGTGTGTGTGTGTGTGTGTGTGTGTGTGTGTGTGTGTGTGTGTGTGTGTGTGTGTGTCGTGGGGGCCGGGGGTGTTTTAATTTGCTGGCCTTAATTTGTATTATTTTTTTTTTACTGTTCTGATATTCATAATATAACACTTTGGATACCAGTGGTGTCAACAAGGACTGCCCAACACAAAATTATGCCCGTGGTATTAAAGAGCCTTTGTTTCCTCCTTGTTTTCTGTTGCCATTGTCATACTGTAAACACATACTTCTATGACTTAAAAAGATTCCAACATTTTAGATGGAATCATTTTTAGTAACAGAATGGAAATGTCATTATAAAACGCAGTATGTAATCATTCTCATTCCACTGGACATTCTTAAAACAAATGTTAACGTTACGGCCTGCATTTCTTTTTTACCTCTTTATATTAAATCCAATGAGATCCCTCCAAAAGCCTACGTTTTCCATTTTCAGTTAAAGAGTGATTTCTAAATGTGATACGAGAAGATGGTAGACTTATTTACTTAAAATGTTAGAGCGAAAGGACTTAAATCGGCATCATGTACTCGAATTTGCACAAAACGGACGCCCATTGTCGAGGAGAAACGTGGTTGTCGTAGATACATGGACATCTTGGGCTGTGTCATTGTACGATATAAGATATGTAAACGTAAGAAGCGGGGGGTAGGGGGTGGGTAGTGGCAAGTGGTACTCTGTTTAGGTGATTGTTGTGAACAGATGGTCGGTAGAGCAGGTGCGTCTGTATGTTTGACGTGCCATCCGGTAAGACTGACTGACAATGACACTGCCTACAGCTTATCCCTCAATCCAAACTTGCGTCCTTCTCTCTGCCCCTCTCATCCCTTGACTTCTTTGTTCAATGACATCTAAGGAAATACATTAAGAGACAAGTAGAGGGGAACTTTAACTTAACAAGGAACAATGAGGAAATACAGACGAAATGATGATGATGATGATAATGATGATGAAGATAATGATGATAATGATGATGATGATGATGATGATGATGATGATGATGATGATGATGATGATGATGACGATCATGATCATGATGATGAATGATCTTGATGTGAGAAAAGAGGAACATCGTTTGCAATCTCTTCAACTGTTCCAGACTCAGAAAGCGAGAGGGGGGAACAGGCAAGAAATGTTTGATTCTTTTAAATAAATGCACCTATGTTATGTACCCTTTCTTACTCGTTTTTTTCCAACATTTAGCTTTTTGAATTTTGGTCAAATGATAAATGTTTCTCGAGCACATGCAACCGATACCATACATGAAGAAACAAGATTTTTTTTCTTTTTTTAAAATTACAAATGTTGTGCTAATAACATCTAACAAACTGGACGACGTATATAATAAATATGTTCAATAATAGCAAACTGAAAGTTCAGAACAGCGGACCAAGTTAGCTGGCTAATGCGCTGCCGCAACCATGGGGCTTCGGAGAGACACGGACATAATAATACTATTGTCTTGGACATACCCTGTGCAGGAGTCTCAGGCGTTGTGCTTGCAGTAGTCGTAACGGGCGTTGACGTTTGAGCCGATGGGCTGGACGAGGCGGGAGCTGTTGTTTGTGTTGATCCGGTTGTTGATGGTGTGCTGTTTGTTGGTTTTGTTGTCGTGTTAGTGAGTCCCACACTTTGAGCTACGAAGAGCGACAGCAATAAAATACACACAGACGTTGATGTCCCAAATGCCCCCATCGCACTTTGTATACTTTTAAATAATACTCTGGGTCGTGTGGATAATTCAGCTTCCTCCTTTTTTAAATTTATTTATTTTTTAAAATTTCATTGGAACTAAAAACGTCATTCCATGAGTCAAAAAGAATTCGAAATTGCACAGGCGTAGAAGCAACAAGATCTGATCTTCTGAACCTTCCCCACACACTGGTGGCTGGTCACGCCACTAGTGACTACACAAGTTTAAAAAATACAACGCGCTCTCCGTACTCAGAGTAATACTAGTACTGAGGAAACGCTTTCTAATTGCTGTCTATAATTAGTACTACGGTTGGGCAGCAAGAACTGAAACAGAGATAACGTTTTAGCTATTACCATCAGAGATACGGCTTGCCTGTATGTCGAGGATGTTGATATATTATTATTCTACTTCAAAAATGGTAGTCCAGTTACACACGCACACATTGCTGCTGATAGTCTCCATTTTAATTTACACGTGTTGGTTCATCACGTCACTGATATGGTGAATAACCAGTAGATTTAGGCCAATAAAAACAGGAAAGAGGCGTGTTGCTAATCTTTTCACCCTCAGATCATTGATATGAGAAACGATAGTATGTCGATTGGTGGCTTCAGAAATGTGGAAAATGACAGATGGTGCAAAGGACTTTGTGATATTGAAACAAACACCGTAGTGAGTTTTCCTGAATGAGAGAAAAACTTTCGTCTCAACAGTACAATAACAAGGTTCTACTTAAATTGCCCTCGGTTTTGAGATATTTGAGTTGAAAGTTTTCTCACACTGTGGTTCCTTTAAATGAAGAACAACCTTAACATGGTTTTATTATAGAAAATACAGGAACAGGATTTGTAACTTTTACCAACAAGTATTACGATGTAGAAGGAGTACTGGGGGAGGACGAAACACTGTTACACACAAAAAAGCTTTTAAATCCACAGTTTTTGCTGATCTTTTGTTCATAGAAATTACCCAGGAAACATTAACTCACTTTCACACAGCCTAAATGTCTAAATCGCTCTGGAGATATAGCCCATGAAAGAAAGCCATGAATCTGAGATTTTGGCCAAATTACGCGGGCTATTCCCTAACTTCTGTATTATATTTTCCCCAAGTAGGTATGACTGTTCATTTATTTTCCTTAACGTACTATTCTATTCACACTGGAATACTTAGGTCATATCAGATGCTAAGTATTCTTTTGTTATTTGAATCAAGGGGAGAAAATTGTTTTTGGTCGTTATAACAAAATAAACCCCATACATGACAAACGTGGAAACAAAAATCACAACACTTTTATAATTTGTAAGTTCAATGCCTTATCTATGGGATGAAAGAACGAGTGATTGATGGGAGCACTGTGTGAATTGGTTATTCTTTCCTATTTGACATCTATCCTTTTAATATCTCCTCCTTCTTTTGTTTGTATGTTAATCTCTTGTGACTCCTCTAATCTTCGGCACATTTGTGACCAAATTGCAAGTGCTGCAAAACTCTTATTATTACTTTTTTTTCTTACTTGGATGAAAAACTACTATTAGTTTGACATATTTGCACGTTTTCTTCGTTGGTGGTTGCAGCTGGTGCATTCACATCAGTTGTGCTATTTTTCTTTCTCTGGACATCTTGAACACTTTTTCGTCGATATTTCTGTCCAGTTTGCTTTGGTCAAGGCGTACAATGTCAGTGGACCCCCCCCCCCCGCGTCTTTGCCTGCCAATTTCCTTTCCGTTTCTCTTCCGGTGGTGTATCCCAAGACAGACATAGTGCGTCTTCCAATTGTTGTTTTTGTTTTTGATGTTGTTGTGTTTTTCTCATGAGTCCAAACAGATTTTTGTTTAACTCAGTGAGGATGTTTTAACTGGTTCTTGTCTGTGTTAAACTCATTCTTAAAAGTTGCAGCAATTTTGCACAGTTCACTACCTTCACCTGTTTCAGCTGATCTTTGTTAATGTCACGTAAGTTGCAGTTTCTTCTCCAGTCGTTTTTCCACATCTGTGATGGATTTTTGGCTGTCAAATCCAGTTAACTCTTAATTGACTCAGAAGACACCCCTGGCATATCAGCAGGAGACCAGACGCAATGGCACAGCAACTTTCGTACCATCATAGTTCACAAATTAGAGAACACGAATTTGCATATTTCATAGTATACATAGTGTTGTTTTCCTTCATAAGTTTTAGATAAAGAAAGCTGGATTGGAAAACCTACATGGATAGAGAAGTTATACATCGAACCAGTGCGTCTTCAAGTGTTGACGAATAACCAGACTGCTTGCCCTGAAAGAGTCAAGATTCTTTTATCAAAACTTGCACGCCCTGATAAGCGTTGATATCTTTGTGCGTTCACTCGTGTCGCTTCAGACTAGGGTGGTTTGGTTGCAGCTACTATTGTTATCTCTTCTGCTTATTAATTGCAATAATTTATTATCATTGTCGGGATAAAGAAAAAGGGAAGGCCAAAACATGGCGATCATTTCATGTTTGATCCAAAAGTCGTGTTCTGTATTCAGTGACTTACCGCATGGCTTGATTACAAAAATGATAATTCATGATACATGCAATTGCTCTTATACAGCGCAAATCGTTGCATTAAAGAACGCTCTATGCGCTCAACAACCGTGGGGTATGATACATCAAATTTAAAAGTGGGGTTTGTATGAAATGATGAACGATATTTTAAGCCAGAGGAAAAGCTTCAAATCTAACTACCTGAGTCGTTTTTTGGTCGATAACTCAATCCTCGGATTGCCAGAAATAACTCATTTCGTCAGCACGCCTCACCTGAATAGAGGGAAAGGGGAAGCCAAACATAAAGAGTGCAATAAGAAATCAGAGGTGTGGGGGGTTTTTTGGGTTGGGGGGGGGGGATTTAGGGGACGAGGAGCAGGCAGCGGAGGAGACTATAGAAAGTCTGAAGAACTGCCGATAGCAAATGTGAGGCATCATGGTGAAATCAGGCTCTCGTGAATATGATGAATTTGAAGAAACCGAATTTTTCCGTTCGTTTGGGAATTTTTATTGAACTTTTTTTTTGACTCAATATCTTTCTTGGTCACATTCTGTGTGGATTTTTACCGAAAAACGTTGATTGAAG